GGGGGAGAGAGAGGCACGAAGAGCCTTCCCCCGGCCCATGAGCAAAATAAATGCTGAATGTGTTAGACAGTAGGTAACTGTAACTTCCAAACATTTTTCGTAACTCTCTTTGAACAAACACCCTCGTCCAAAGTCATGGTTTTGTCGTCATTTAATTGAACGAGGTGTAGCTTGTACATGTACATGGGCAAACACAACAAATTAATTCCACAACACGAGTACGTACACGCACGTATACATTCATTTATACGCTGCGTTAGAGTAAGGATAAGAATAATCTGCAATGCACAATGTTCATACCTGTGTTGAAACTGTCTTGTGAGCTTCAGAATGTTGGCTCATTCTTGCTAGTTCCTGTTGTACCTCCAGTAATCTTTGTCTCTCTTGCTGCAGCTGTTCAAGCTCTGCAGTCTGTTTCTGTAAGTATCTTTGGTACATCGCCTCTTGGTCACTCCCTATTACACAAGCAAGGCATGTCCTCTTATATCACTCCAGACAAGTACGTGTATGTTTGAATCACAGAATGCAAAGAGACAGACATGTCAACATAAGCACCTAAATGTACGTGGTACAACCATGTTACATGACGATTTCTATAAACGTTCTCGCAATCTCTTGCAAAGTAATTGTTGAACAACAGTTAATTCTTTTCTCCCTGTTTGACAAACAAGTGCTATTACATTTCATATTCTACGAGAAGTTTGAAAATCGGAATTTGCCAAAGCTCAGACGAAACTGGACAACCGCGTTGAACGAATCTGAAATGAGATTGGCCGATTGCTTGGAGCAGCTGTCTAGCAACATGGGAACATTGTGCCACAACGCTGGAAAGTTTCCCCCGAAAGAACAACCTGTTTGACGGTGAAAGGAAAGAGCTCTGGCATCTTAACTGCCCGTATGTTATCTTACACTTAGCAAACGCTTATGTACCTCAGAGCTAATTGAAAGCCCTTGCATAAAAATAAGTGGGTAAAATGAAGTAGCATTAGTTGAATTAAAGACCAACCATCAAGATCCAGCATTCTGTTCCTGTTCAAAGCAGCAGCTGCAGCGGAAGCCACAGTAACCACTGCTACATCTCCACCAGCCCCTTCATCCTCAGTACCTGTAGTGACTTCATCGTCCTCATTCTGCCTGTCTTCTTCCTCATTGTCACCTGAAGTCTCTGATCTGTTGCTTTCGTCTCTTTCCTCCTCGTCCTCCTCTTCTTCCTCCTCCTCCTCATCACCATCATCATCATCATCGTCATCATCAAAATCGTCCTCGTCAAAGCTCAACTCTGCCAACTCCGCTGGTAGAGC